GTAGTAGTAGTAGTAGTAGTAGTAGTAGTAGTAGTAGTAGTAAGAATGCTACTAGTATTAATGCCAGGAGCCCCGTTTTAGCGATGCCCTTTGCTACGTTCGTAGTTTGTTTGTTTTAGACAATTCTGGAACGGAGCGCCCAAAGGCCATAAATCAATAGGATTCAATAGGTCAAGAGACACAAGGTACAAGGTACAAATCTACTACAATTTTATGTTTATAGATTAATATAGATTATAGATGTTTATAGTATATACACTCCCGAAAACTAACATAGACCTTGACAATGGCCCCCAGGAAGAGTGTTTTCCTCTACCAACCAGTCGTTTTCAGGGTCCATGTTAGTTTTCCAGAGTGTAGTTCCTTATTCATTCCCTCGTTTATTTATCCGTTGGCTTCGTGTTGGCTATGTGTATGTCATTTTTGCCCTGGACCAGACTCGCTGGCGCTTCAGGTTCGCCAAGTTCAACCATGGTGACAAGGCTGGTGACAGAGCTGTTTGTTTGCACCATGGCCCAGGGATGATGGTTTGGTGGTGTGCTTTAGTGCGAGATGTTGGGCGCAGCTTTGCGACCAACATGTCAACATGTGAGGATCATGTGAGGTGATTGAGTTTGTAAAAAACAGGCTAGGCAAGACGTCGGACAGCACAACTGAGATGCCTTGCCACTGTACACTGAGACTTGCGTAGACTGACACTTCGCAACTCCATTGGAGAACATCACGAGCATGTCAGAAAGAAGCCTTGGTATACCTCCTGAATCAAGAGCCGTGGGCTCGCATGGATTCACATGCGTGTTTTTGGCTGTTCTCAGGCATGTCGTGGGCTTGTCACTCGGCGGTCACCCCAAAAAGGACGACTGGGGATGTGAAATGCGGAGCTGAGGAGGGACACACCTTCTACCTGAGCTGACCTGATACAACTCGGTGCAACCCGGGGGCACAGTTCAAGCCACACCAGCCCGCTGGATTAGAACCAGCCCGCTGGATTGTTTGTTTGCGTCGCGAACGCCCTGCCAGGCCAATGGAGAAAGCGACCTGTGCGAGCCGGAGAGGTGTGGAAAGCTCACGTGGAAGGTAGATGACAGGTCAAGGTGTAGGGGGTGACAGGTCAAAATCGTCTTCTGATGTTTTCTTCATTTTTCTTCCTTTTTATGTGACATTCGGTTGCCCAAGCCAATCCATCCCAATCCTTTCAGTTGTTGATGTGTTGTTTATGCTTGTTCTTTGGTTGACACCACCAGATATTTTTGACTGGTGGTGCTGCCTCTCAGAGCCGAGATCTGCAGGATTTTGCCCAGATCGCAAGCCGCGTGTGGCACGTGGTTGGCCCTAAGTCACTCTGCTCAACTTGAGGCACACCTCAACCCGATCCTTCATTTTCTGTCGACTTTGGTCCCTGAACGTGCTTGCACCGCTCCTGTGAACGCCATGGCGGTCCGCTCACGCTTGGCTGGATTGATGCTGGTTGCAGCTGGGATGGTACTGGAGAATTGAAACCAAATTAGAGGAAAGTCAATCGTGCCAAGGCATAGATACAGAAGCTCTTCGCAGTCCTTGTAGAATTAGAATGTAATGTAATAATGTCAAGTTCCACAGGAAGAATGATGTGCTGCGAAGCAAGGTGGACCATGCGAGTTGGACTCTATATCCATGCTGATTTGGAATCGTGTTGGTTGAAGTTGCTCCTCCAGTAAACAGTTCCAGCAGTTGCTACTCTTGCTCGACCTGGTGAGTCTGTTTCTCCTTGGTGTGCTTAGAGCTATAACTGCCTTGCTATGGTGGCCATGGATTCGTCTGCACCACCGGTCACCAATCCCCGTGACCAGGCGGCCATTCTGAGCCTTTTCCTGAACTATGCCTTCGTTGGCCCACCAGTCACAGGCCCGACCTGAGAAACCACATGCTTGGAAGAGAAACCAAGTGGTTTCAACCATGTGGTTTGATCTTCACCAGCACATGAGTTGATTTGGACATAGGTAGACTCAGGTTTCTTTGAACAGCTTATCAGCTTATCTCTCTGTTTGGGCCAGATAGAAGGAGCATGATTTTTGGGCCATACTTTTGTGTTCAGTCGGCCGATGAGTTGATTTTGTCAGGTTTTTAGCTCAGTCTTGATGTCCAGCAGCTCATCATTGCTCGCTTTCCCCAGGACGTCAGACCCGGGCTCCTTTGCGAGCAGTGCCTGGGATGACCAAATCTCATGAATCATTATTTTTTTTGACCATTTGTTGTTCTTTCTTTTCTTTAGACCTTTGGAATCCTTTGGACATTGCTATGTTTCTTTATTTCGTTTTGTTTCTTAATGCTCGTTTAGATCCTCCTGTGGCCCAATGTATGGCATCGGCCCACGGAGCCAGGGATGGATCGTGATTGGCCACGCTAGACCTTTCTGTTTTTCTTTTTATTTCTTTCGACCTGGAGGCCTGTCGGATCCTGTAAGCCTTTCTATCTTGTTTCTTTCTTCCTTTCCCTTAAGCATGTCCAGCTATAGACCTTTCTTTTGACCTTTCTTCCTGTTCTTTTCAGTGTTTTTTCTTTAGATTATTTGCTTTTTGATTTTTCTTTAGACCTTTCTTCCGGTTCTAGACGGTTGTTGTTGCTGCTGTTGTTGTTGTTGTTGTAGACGTCTTTACTTTTGCCGTTTAGATTCAGACGTTTCTTCAATGTGTTTCTTTTTGTTTTAAATGTTTTGTCTTTAGATATATAAGATAAACCTTCCTTTATTTGTGTCAATTGTTTTCTTTAGATCTTTTTTCATTGTTTTGTTCTTTGGCTTTTGCTGACTTCCAATTTTTGCGAAAGCATATCCGTCCGTCAAAGAAAACAAAGTGTTCGATCTCACTCGGAAATGCTGGTTGGTCCAAGCCGAACCTGCAATTTCTTTGGAACAGCCTGTCAATGGGTCAAATGCCAGCACTGCAATCACCAAATTTGACCAAAAAACATTGTAAATATATTTGTGTTTTTTTTTTTTGAGAAGTCCTCGTTTGAGGTACACCGTAGCCGCATGACTTTTGGATATTCATGGGTAAACCGACCACTGTTTTACCTCACTATTGTCGATTATCGTATGATGTTTCGGTTTCTTTTGTTTCGGTTGTTGGGAGAGCGTCAAATGTCCTACTATCTAGAAACGCACTCACTGGCATTGACAGAGCTCTTTTGAGATGTGTTTGAGGTTGATGAGCTTGTGAAAGAGGAGGTGAAAGAGGAGGTGGGGATGAATCAACCCCCCCCACCATTTCTCAATCATCCATGCAAGAATTCATTGATTTATACCCATGTTTTGGGGGGGGAGCGCCTCTCGGAGGCGCGACGGTTGTCACTTTTTGCACATTTGAGGCGTGGAAGTGAGAAGTTCCCGGGCCCCGGGGGAGAGCGTGAAGTGCGTCTAAAAATGAAGCTACATGCACACATGCGTTGGAAGATGGGGGGTGGTTTTGGGGGTTAACGACGTGCATCTAAGATGAAGCTAAATGTGCACACACACACACACACACCCGCACACACGCGCACACACACACACACACGTACGTGTGCGCGCGCGTTGGAAGATGGGGTGGTTCACAAAACTCACCAAAGAGTCCTTGTACTTGTACAGTGTTATGGCCACCTGTGCTGCAGATTCTGCAAAAGTTGAATAGTTTGTCAGCAGCCGCTGAAACAAAACAACATACAACACACAATTACAACTCATTAGCCTTTAGAAACATGATCGCGCCGCCACGCTCCTACAGGCACTCCTACCTGTTTTTGAGGTGACATTCGGACATGCTTGTGGTGATTTCCTGGAACCACGCCTTGTTGGTGAGCAAGCCTTGTGCCAGAACAGCCAGGTGACGGAGGAGCCGGTGAAAGAAGAAACCAAGAATGAGAAAGATGAGCTATTTGGACTCGGCGCAACTCAGCTACAGATGACTTTCCTCGACCGTCTGGAGATATGCAATGGTGTTGGGGTCGGAGTCAATGGGGGCTAGATTTGTGTTCCGCCATTCAAATTCAAACATGTCATAGCCTCAAAACATTGAATCATATTGAAACCGTTTTGCTTTTGACGAGTGTTTGCTTTCAATGGTACCCCTGCCTAATTAATTAGTGGATAAGTCTTTGCCCTTCGGAACTTGATCCCTGGAACTTGTAAGTTAATTCTGGCTAGGTGACATTAGGTGACTACCCATCTGCAACTTATATATAGAATATGATCCAATATTGATGCTATTCTCTTGGCAAGATGCCTTCTTTTTGTTTACTACAGTTGTTATCCCTCTCTCTGAATGATTAATTCCTTTTGACAAAGGAATTGACAAGTGAGTGTGTGTATATATTATATAAACATATCGATACCTAGTTTATATAAGGAATTAAGTGTATTATATAGTTAAACATGTCAATTGGTTGTTGCACTGCCTTGGTGGAGGGTACTCCAATTCGTTCCACTTCTTTTCTCAGGAATTCTTCTCAACGGACCTCACGAGCGGCGGAGCCTTTTGGCTGTGGCTCATCGTTCCATCCTTGGTGCTCTTCTATGCACCCTGGTGCAAAAGGGACCTCCTCGACACCGAGCGAAAAGAGGAGCGATGAGACTTCCCACAGCCTGGTAGATACAGAGGAACTTAAGAAATAGATGTCGTGCACGAGTTAAGCACGCTGCACCTGCATGTGAGAGTTATGTAACATTTGCTGTGGCAAGCAGCATATAGGAGTCTTGATTAGCTGAAATTCAACAAGAACAGCACGTTGGGAAACTGTATGATTTCCCCAATGGGATTGGTACCAAAGCCACGAAAGCAAGGTCCATGCAGACAGTGTAGATGTTGTTACCACCGTCACAAACACAAGATTGCACGATTGCCAACAACCTGTAGAAGAAGAATCTGATGACTTCCAGAACTCCTCTCTGATTCTCATAATTGCAGAGATCCTCCGCTTTCACGCGGAGCGAAAAAAATAAACGACGCGTACCGCGTCGACCTTCCTTCGTGTCCACGTCCGTCGAGAAACCACGACGGACGCTCAGGTGTACCTCGATTTGGTCTTTGGCGAGAGGTGCGGACAAGCAACCTCGTACCTCAATGGGAAGCTCGGCGATCGGGGATCGACCCGTCGGTGCCTTCATCGATGCGTCGGTCGTGTGAACGGCCAACCCGGGTGGGTCATTTGGTGAGGGTTCAGGCAGTGTTGAGGCGTGATAAACCGCAAGAAGCATGCAACAACTACACTGCAACCGCCTGAAGGCTCTTCCCGTTTGACCCCCTTTTTTGGCTAAATACTAAACTATATACTAAATCTATGATTGGTAAAACTGTGCACCAAACAAATCTACTGTTAGTGCCCACCAATATGCACTAGGGTAGAATACAAAGCTTGCTCTTTCAGCAAAAAGACATAGCCGATACGTTGTACATTTGCACACAAGACAGCTTGCAGTGTGGCGTGAGAAAGATGGGTCACGGCACCAAATCACCTGCACGGTAGTCTTCAGACGAATACCGAACGAACTGTCCATTGATACCTAGACGTTGTTCTGGCATGAACCTGTTGCTGCAACAGTAAGGGCACATCCAAGCTCCTTTGCAGGGTATTTCCCAGTTCTGTGATCAAAAATGTAGGCTTGGGACGGTACGGGATGGTTGGAGGCTTTGCAATGGCTGCATATGATCGATCATTCTACCTTTGGGGAAGGTGACCCCTACTTGTTTGCAGCTGGGAGTGGACACTCGGGGACGGACATAACTTGGCCCAGATTCTGACCCACTGATCCGTCCTACCATGTCAATGCTTGGCAAACTGAGCAGCTTTTCACCAACTGGGTATACCCCCCCCGCCAATGATGCGGTGGCCCCGGAACTGGCGCACAACCGGAAGCTGTCCTCAGGGGTGGGGCCTATTGCATGTCGGAGCCCGTGTTGGGCGGTGCCTTCGACAAGTTGGCTCAGACGCAGATCGGATGAGACACCGACGAGCCTGGCGAGCGGCGCCGCTACAGTCGCCGCTCGAGCCCCCCGTGCGATTGCCTAGAGATCCGGTGGGTGCCTTGGCTCGAAGAGGGTTGGAAGTAGTGTGTGCTGAGCTGACATCAGAGCATGACAAATCCTTCGTTTCGAGATCCAAATCCTTCGATTTCTGAAACCCGGCTCTGTGTTGGCATGACACACGGTGGAGACAAGACGAGACAGGAACCTGATGGAACCGAACGACTTGCTGTGTCTGCCGTGTGATTTCTTGGACATCGGACAAATGGACAAGATTGGTACAGGTGTGACATGTTGTTCCTTGGGCCACGGCTTTGGGCCTTGGCATCTCATGATACTGATTGCTTTACGTTGCTTTCATTTGTGCGTTCTTCAAAGCTTCCTGTGTGGGTCCTCGAACACTAAGCCTTGCGACCTAAGGCAAAGCCTTCGCACAGCAATTTCACTGTGATGCTTCTGAAGGGTTCGTTTTTGATCTGGTCTTATCCGCCCATGTCATTCAGTTTGCTAGTTTGCTATTCGCAAGCAAGAGAGTCAGGATTAGTGATGCTGTGCGGGACGCATGAACCCTTTTGCAGGCACTTAGTGGTTTTTCGCGCGATTCCACACAAGGAGAAATCGCCCCGTTTTCGTTTGCACTCTTGGGTGCGAAAAGCTAATTCGCAGGCCAGTGGTGCTATTTGCTTGGCACCACAAGGCTCAAGACCTGATTGCCATGGAAAAAAGGCAGCAGAGACGCAACAGAGACGAGGGATGCATCCGCACCATGCGCTGTGCGACCCGTGCGACCGGCAGGCTGAATGTTTCATCGTATCCTGCCTTCTTCCTGATCAACGGGGGGCAACATGCAGCCGCCTCAGTGAGTGAGTTTAACGTAAAAAAAAGAACACAGGAAAGTGGAGTAAACAAGTCCAGTCTAAATACATATACATATATATATATGTTGGGTCTGTCCTAACTTACCTGTAACAGGACCTGTAAAGAACTATTTTTTGAACAAGGCCTGCAACTGAACCACCATCATCCACTGTTACGGGTATTAGGGATAGACCCAATATATATGATATATGAGCAACCACTTGTGTTTGGTCGTTGCTAAAGTAGTCTACGGCATGCGCTGTTTGTTTGTCCGACATCAGTGATTATTCGCTAGTGACTCGTGACAGAGATAGCACAAGCAAAATACACTGGTGATGACAGCGATGTTTAATGTTTTGCTGCTAAAGTAGTCTGAAGGAGATAGCACAAGGCCTCCTACTAAGGTAGTCTAAAAAGATGCACAAAATAGACAGGACACTTGTATCAAGGCAACTCTGACCCAGTTTCTTCACATAGATGGCTTCCCAGCTCAAAGGTTGGGAAATCCGGGCTCATCTGGGCTCAAAGACTCAAAGATCTCAAAGATTGGGAAAGCTGAGGAAGCATTTCTGTGGGGGTTGGAGGCCATCGTTAGTAGGTTGGAGGCCATCCTGTTCAATGCCTTCACCGTGCTGAGGAGCCGTTTTCCGTCCACTCGGCAGAGGAGGCCGGAATTGGGAAGAAGGATCTGGCGAGAGGAGGAAGGAGGCTGAAGTCTTTCCGTTAGAACTTGCTCCGTTCGAGTCGCGATGCCAGTTTCGCCCCGCTACGAACGCGCCCTGCTCCTTGGGAGAAATGCCATTTCCGGGATCATTGGGTGACGAGCAGTTTCTTCACCACCCTTCTGAAGGATCCAAGAATTGGCGCTAGCTCAAGACAACATGGCAGAAACTCCAAACATTCAATGACCAACTATGTCCAAAGGACATGCTGCGTTCAATCTCCAACAAGACACCGCCAAGTCCAATGAAAAACCCAAACCCAAACCCATCGCAAAATCCCAAAACGCAAAACCCTGGTGATTTCCCATGTGTCCGAAACGGAGCCGAACGCTTTTCGTCCGGACATGGACGATGTGTCCTCCGTCCAGATGGCGGCCTTTGTCTCGGCCAAAGTGCGAGGGAAGGATCCCGCCGGGGTGGCCCGAAGCTCTTCGACCCGCGGTCTGCCGCTTCAAGCGGCGAAAGGGGCGTCAGACTGGATGACGCATAGGTTTTTCTCCCGTTTGGAGGAGAATGAGCTTAAAGCTGAGATCCCAACTAGATGAGATTAGCATGTTTTTCTTGCGTCACGATCCACAGGTCTTTGATTTGAGTGAAAGGAAGCTCCAAAGTCGAGCGAGTTCGCGGTGAAAGGCTTTCCGGAGTCAGGGAGGGGCCAGCCCTCAATCGGGTCCAATGAGTCCCCAATAAGGAGTCTCCAACAAGGTCCTGGAGTCTGTCAGGATCAGGAACTCTACTTCTAACCACATGCAGGATCTTTGCAAACAGATGTCTGCAGAATCTTCCTTAGCAGTTTTTCATGCCTCTTCCATACGTTTTTTAGAAACCTCTCACCCTTAACTTGCTTGGAAGATGTTGACCTGAAGCGAGGTGACCTCTCCGCACCATGACGCCACTTCAAAACGTTTTGTCCGTCGCGACCGTGACTGCTTCATTCGTTTCTTCATTCGAACCGGTGGGTTGATCCGACCCATGTCCTTCCTGCCACTTTCTTGAAAGAACTCATTGACGCTTCACGCTGAGGACAGGGAGATCCGCAAGGTCTTGCTGAAGATCCGACCGATGCTCTATCGTCCCACGGCAGGGTTTCGTGGGGCGGCGTACAACAGCGACCAAGGGGATTTCCCTTTGTCAGGACGGACAGCAGGACATCCATTTTTCACCGTTTCTGGTTCAGATTGCTTGGAACTTGACCAGTTTGGGACATGACAGGAAATCACACTTGGAAACCACTAGTAACAAGAAGCTACGAACGGGGCTCCTGGCATCGCTACGAACGGAGCAAGGATGCGAACATATGGGAACGACGGGGGATGCGAAGCCCCGAGATCCCCAAGACCGACCTGCTGAAGCGGGGAACATGTGGGTCAAGCTAAGCAATTGAGGTCTGCTTGAGCTCAAGAGAAAGTGGGACTTTTTTCTTCGGATAGTTTTGGATGGAAAGGAAGCAAGAGCAATGCATGGGATGGAAGGGAAGGTGATGTATGAATCTGATGCTTTTCGGGGCGGCAGCTGGAGTTTTGCGGAACTTCGGTTTAGTGGGTTTGCCACTCCAGTCGCCCTGTCAGGGAGTACAACAAGCATCACTTCAACTTGCTACTTAATAATACTGTGGGAGTTTGAACTGTCCGCGCTGAGCTCCACCTATTGTTTGGTAATTATGTGTTACATCTCGCAGCACTTGTACTAGTCAACATAGTTGCATAGTTTGATTCAGAGGAGCTTGTGACCAATTGGAATTCTGTGATGGAAGGCATGTCCTGTGTCACGCACAAATCAAAAGTGATGGTTAATGACGGTGAAGTTATATATATATATATTTATATAATATAGTGCTAGTATGTGCTAGTAGTTGTGTGTCAAAAGTTTTGCCTGCTGCGTCCTCATGCTTGCTTGTGTTTGATTGCCGCGGTGTTTTCTTCCATTCATCAGAGCTTTTTGCTAGTGGTCCCGAGGTGAAGACACGCCTCCTGAGGAGGTCTTGGACTTGGAGCCTGAAGCCTTCGACGAGACAGCCAGGGCCTCACAAGAGGCCTTCCGAGGCCCTGGAAGGGCGCTTGTGGGTGCACTATGGTGCACTGAGAAAATCCTGATTCAATGACTTGTTGGGGAGATGAAGACGACAACACAGCTGCTTTTCTTGAGACGTGTTTGACAACATGGTTAAGATATGTTAAGATATGGGGTACCGCCCCATGGGACAAGCAGAATGGTCGGAGTTGCAGCTTGGATACGGTCGATGAAGGAGTCGAAGCATGTCGGATGCAATGAACGTTGTGATGGCTTGACGATGGCTACCCTTTGGGATTGGTTGGGTGACGGCACCTTGAACTGAGGTAGACGAGGATTCTTGTTTGGCAAAGGTGCTGTTGCCATGCTTTTGGTCTCCACAGTTTCCGACCAAGGCTTCCCGAAAGCTGTCAAATGGCAACCCGCGGAGCTAGCATTCTGCCAGTCTGTGTTTGAGCATTTGGATAGACTTGGTTTTCCACCGGAAAAAAGAAACAACCGAACAATCTCCAACATGGAGTCAAGGTGCGAGGCAGCGAGGTTTGTTCTGGCAGCTCGATCAGCTCGATCAGGTCTTGCTGAACTATCCGGAGAACAATCGGATTTGGATCATCAAGCAGCTCGCCTCACGGAAAACCGGAAAACCCAGGAAGCCGTTCGCCTCAGGTTGGGGGGGAAGATCCAAGTGAAGACCTGTTTGTAGTAGGTTGGAATAAAAGAATAGTATTACTGACGAGAAAATCAGTAGGTGGTGGGTGAGCAGCTGCATTGCCCAGCAAAGACACATCAAATATTGCTAGATGATGGTGGAGTTGTGGGTTTGGTCGGTTTTGCCACGCTAAGTTTTGCAGATGCCATGGCTGCCATTTTTCATCTCCTGCTGAATCTAAAAGCAAGTCACAAAAGATAACAATAAAATATATGACAATGACAATAACTAAAAAATATATAGTAAAGACAACCAAATTTGGCTGATCCGGCCAGTTCGTCCTCAGAATAGTCCCACAGTTCAAGGGGTGCAGTCAGACTTCGGACGTGTTTGGCATGCTTGGCACGGATCGGGCGTTCGCCAACGCAGCACCAAAGAGAGACTTCAGCAGGTACCCCATTTGTACAACTCCGTTCGGAGTGAACAACTCATGAGATTGGTACCGCGAGGCATTCACGAGGATTGCCATATATGTACTTGTATAATGTATAATTATACTTAATCATCATTATATACATTTCTTGGAGGATTTAGCATTGTGAAAGTTGGTCTCATACCAGACAAACCGAACAGGTGTGGTGTGCCCAGTTCATTGGAGCACATCTCAACGATCCAAGGTTTTACAGCGAGAAGTGTCCCTTCTGCCGGACGGCGTGGCCTGCTTCCATGGTGTGTCTCATGATCTCATGACCAGACAAACAATTCACCCATGGCAGCCATGTTTTGCGTGGCCACGTGGCCAGGAAACTGGGTACCAGAACCCATGGCCTGCTGAACAACGTGAGTTAACGTGAGAGTGCTTTGTTGAACAAGTCCAACCCCAAAACGGACTGAAAGGGGATCCTGTTGCACTCATGGGGGCGAGCCTAGCCGGACATCCATCTTTTGTCTCAGGCTAGCCGGTTATCAATATCAGCTCTTATGGGTCTAGTAGTATATAGGTCTAACATGTTGAAGGACTCACACCTGTAGGGCATCGGGATGCCCAAAGCAGGCCACCCAACTTTCCTGAATGGCTTGTTGCTTTGGCTTTGCTTTTGATACTCAGACTGTTCACGAACTTCGTCCAACCAGCAAGGCCAACTGCCAATCATTTCCATGAACTCTTCACAGGTTTCGGTTGAACTGGGGTTCAGATTCAGCTTTCGTCCGTTAACCCGGACACCTCGAAACCCGGACACCAGCGGGGCCCTGTTGAGGAGCCTCAAGCCTGAGTACCGGCGGGCCTCTCGGGAGGCACCGATCCGGGTGGGGAAGTTGAAAACAACTCAGAGTGACTCAGGATTTGCATGGATGTGCTGATCTTCCATCATTTTCTGAGCTTATACATGCTAACACCTGAAGCTTCCATGGCTGGCTGGATTCGATCCATCTGTAGGTCGGGGATGCGCGAGAAAGAATGGATTTGGAGATGTGTTGGACGGTTGATTCATTTGATTTCGGTTGATGCAAGAAAAGTGGGCCCATTTTTAGATTCATGATTATGTCTTTGGCCTTGGTGAGCAGCACATCGGTTGTTGAGCTTCTCACCGGGTTCATGGCCCTCTGTCCATCGTTTTGCTCGTCGGATGGAGGATGGGAGGATGGGAGGGGTTGCACCTCAGCAATTGAGTGAGGGTTATGCAATGTTACACAATGTACGGGCTATTTTGCAACAAGTTGGGTGATTGGTTTTATACATTGTAGCTTAATGGATATGGGATTAAACTATGAATGAACTTCGGTTGACCCGGTTGACCCCAGAGTTATTCCGGTGATATATCCATCCTCCTTCTGTCTGCAGGCCTTGCTCCTTGGCGTACAATTGTTCAACATAAATGATAGTTATATTGGCATCTTCCATCAGTTTCGGGCCGATGGCTAAGTCTGCTGGAGTGTGACCATTGAATCAGGACAATCCGAGGACTGGCCCAGTCACTGGCCGCGGCCATTCAGCACCGTCCCACCAGACCGCCAGGTGAAGTCGCCGAACATCCGCTTTGCAGCAGTGCCTTGGGGAAAGGGCCGGTCGGTCAAAACCTATAGTCGATGGTGAAGCAACAAGCACAGAGGTATCGGCAGCTGAGGTGTTTGGAGTTGTTTTCTTTCTATTTTTCCGAGTTGGTCGTGCAAGCAGTTGGTTTGTCCGTGGTTGTTCCTGGAACTCCCAGTGGAGATTCAAGACAGTTTGTCATTATTTAGCAGACTTCATTGTCGAGTCCCAGAGCTCTTTCAGTGTTAGTTATATTATAATAGATGTATGATGTATGTATACTGTCAGTAAACGTTGGTCGGAAGGCCGCCTAGGGCCTACAGGCGTAGCACCGTAGCACCCAGTGAACTAGATTGCTTGAAGCCACAGTCTGCTCACGGACTCTATAGTATGCTGGGAGGTGAGAGATACTCTTCGCACAATCCACGGACCCCGAAAGGACGTCCCTCTGACTCTTCATGTCCCACGTTCGAATCGGGTCCGAATTCGGAGGTCCGCACGCAAACGTCGCAGCACCCAGAGCCCCGGCGGCTTTTCGCACCCGGAAGCCCCGGAACCTCGGTCGAGACCTCCGACACGTCGTCGAAACCTCGGGAGGTCCCCAGGTTCAATGTGGTTCAACGTGGTTCTATATAGGTATATAATATATGTATAGTATCCTCTCTAGAATCACTGTCAAGACCCCCCCCACTTTATGATATTCCAGGGGTTCATCCCTATTCTGTTCATGTTTGGGGGTGGGCCAAACCCACCATGGGAGGTCGGTCCGGACCGGTGTCCCTCGGTGTGGAGGTGAACAGCCGAGCCTTCCCCGACCTGGCGGAGCGCTTCGGCGTGGCCCAGCAGCAGCACGGGAGGAAGGATCCGACCCGCCATTCTGGTGCTGGGTAATGTGATCAAACAACCAAGATATGATGCTAATCAAATCTAATTCAAGATAAATCACCTCTGGGAAGGCGATTGATTCAATGGTTTGGAGACAGCATGTTTCACAACTGGGTGTTGATGGCTGAAGATCTACTTAGGTCAGCAGCTACCCGTGGGTCATCTCGATCTATGCAGGGCGAAGCTTGGGCAAAACCGCCTGCGTCGGCGACGAGAGTAAAATACCATATATGGGTCTTCATGCAGTCTAGGTACTTGTAACATCGTTAATTGCTCTTTTTTGTTCAATTGGATGTTTTGTGTCTTCTGTCAGACACTGTCGATCTGAAAAAGGAAAATTGTCTCCCCACTTTCTTGGTGACACGGCTTAAGCTCAACTCATGGGCACATCTGAGCACACCGGATTACAGTGGTTTCAGAGTAGATTGCACAAAACCCCTACATGTCTTTTTGGTCCTATATAAACCACCTAACTTGGGGATTATGCTATCTACTCTGAACCCACTGTATTTTGGTTTGGTTTCGCTGGATACCTTGCAGACTTACACATGTTATCACCTGGAAGTGAAATGGTTCCTGTTCGGGTGAACGGGCTCCATCAGGACGGGTTTCATGTTGTTCCAGTCTCGTGCAATTGGTTCAAAAGTACGGAGCCTGGCGGAGCCTGGCGGAGCCTTTTGTTCTCCTGCCCCACTTGGGCCCCCCCTTGGTGCGTTTTTCTCGCCCAGGAAGAGGAGAAGACATGACCGGATTAGGAGGCCACATGCGCGGTTTCCCGGCAGCGGCAGCTTGGTTTCCGTCGTGAACCCCGGTTTCCACGGAAACCAACGAGCTTGGAGCCAGTGCTGCAAGGATTGGAACGCAACCTGGACTATGTGACTATAGGATACTTTAGGATGATATCAGGCTAAACATGGGAGCCTTTTTGGTCCTGTTTGAAGGATCATGCTAGTGGCCAGTGCTGGCTCCTGGTACAGGGATTCTTTGAACGTCAACAAAGCTGTGCTCATATGTTCATCCTGGCGGAATTCTTCTCCGTTTCTTTTTTGCAGCTCATTCTCCTGATGAAAGTCATTCGCAGACGACTGCGCCACCCAGACGACTGCGCTCATGCCACCGACGACTGCGTTCCGACCCGACCTGCGCCTCGCCGCGAGCGCCGTTCTGCAGGTGCCGAGAGCCTGGTCCGCTTTGCGCGCGAGCAGCATCAGAAGGTGGGGCCGTGGGGCGTTCGTCAGCTGAAGCAGCTGAAGGTCGTTTCGGGTTTGGGCATGGATGGGAAATGAGACGATGGGCGATGTGTCGCTGGTTTATGATCCCCAGGTGTTTGACAGTCTTGTAGAGATGGCTTGGTGTGCCAGCAACAGCTAGCTTTGGCCAGATCGTTTGCCCCTTTGATGGGCTTCAAGCAAGCTTTTCTGTGCTGGCGCCATAGTGGAAGAAAAAACTGCCATTGAAACTGCTTGGATCCACAATGCCGACTAGTTGGGGACCACAACCAATGGCTGTGGGTCACCTGGAGCCCCTTTCACCCTGAGGTAGGTTGACCTCCCAGGTTTGGGGTTTCATTCGGTCCCACGACATGACCCACGGCCATGGCGCCCCCCCGAAGCCGAGCAGCTCGTGGTGGTCTGCACCGTCCTGCCAGCTCTATTCTGGATCGCCCAGCTGGGCGGAAGAGTGGCCCAGATGGCCAGCGCAGGCGCGAGCGATAGCATTGGGGAAGCGGTTTCAGGAGGCGACGCCCCAGATGCATGGCTTGAAAGGACATGCAGGCGAAATCGCTGAATCACCATGGGCTGATTTTCTGAGGTTTCCAGCGCTGTTGCTGAAAGAACATCGGGAACACGAAAAATAACTATTCAGTGTGAGTTGAGTGGTTGGCTTGCCCAAATTGACACAGCTCTGAACAAATCATTGAATCAGAAAGATGTGACCATCTCGGTATGGTCGATAGGTCCGTAGACCTCGCGACAAACCTGGCACGTTTGAGGATGGTTTGTTTAATGTTTCTTTTGATTTTGGTATTTTTATATTCAACGATCCTTGATGAAGGATCGCGGTCAGTATCAGCTGTGCTATGCTGTGCTCATTCAACCGCAGGACTCCCTGAGCTCTCTCGCCGAGCAGGGGGGCTTAGAAGAAAGTTGCCAGATTGCAGGACAGAAGTGTAGGAACCTCTACCAGGACCCTCTAAGGGGTGCCCTGTCTGGAAGCCTATAGGTAGTGTGGGGTAGTCCAGCCAGGACACCCCGACAGGAGGGTCCTGGTATATTCTTTCATGCTATAAGCCATTCTGGTTTGGTTGTTCCGAACCAACCCCAGTGCTGTATTTCGACTCCAGTTTCGACTACATGACTCAGTTGTTGTATCGCACTTGAGCCGGCCACTCGCGTTTTGCTGATAGCTGGCTTGTTTAGAGATGTTCGGATCCCATTGGTATGTGGTCCAATCAGGGGTCCGGTTGCCTGTTCGAAATCGTGCTGAGTCCCTTTGCTTTAAACATACGTATTCTGACTCACCACGATCACCCTGAGGGACGGCTGGGTTCCAATCGAGCTGAATGGAGATCCGTCCAACCACGGGGACGGCTGGGTGCAGAGACGTCTCAGCGAGGAAACACGACTTGAGACCCCGGCGAAAGAGTCCTTTCTCCCTTCGTGAAAGAGTCTTTCTGTGGTGCGGTCAATGGGGCCGAGAGCGCATTTGCGGCATGTGCGGTCCATGTGCGGTCGGACAGTGGATCTAGATGTGGCTCCATCTCGGTGACGAAACAGATCGGTTGCCTACAAGAGATTCTTGTTGAAAGTCATCACTTAGTTGACCAAAGCAAGTCAGCAATCTAAATAATGATGGAGAGTACCTAATATAGAGTGCCTCGTTACTTTTTTCCAATATGTGGAGGATTCACTGTTAGGGTTATGAAGAACCTGAGATCCCAAATACTGTTGGAAACAACCTTTTGCTGTAATTCCAAATTTTAGGAACTTCCAAGTGCCCAATAACCTTCGTTGGAGACCCCCGGTCATTTCTGGCCCTCACTGAGGCCCTCGAACAGCAGTGGTGGGACCTGGCGCGAGTTGTTGGGGCGAAGCACCTGGTCTGCTCCTCAGAGGTAGCTGATGAGTCGGCACTTACTGGTCCGACTGGTCCGATTTTCCAGAAACGGACGGGTGGTGGCACGGGGCGGAGTACCCGCGAGACCACACCACGCGAGCGCACAAAAAGCCTGAGAGGTTCCTCCTCTCCTGGTCCTGAGCTCCGCACTGACCCAGGTTCCATGGAACATATGGAACATGGTAGACATGGTGGCCCCACTCGAGGCTTCTTGCCCTTCTGGGGAGCATTTCCCATGAGTTAGTGCATGGAAGACAGAATGCCGAAGCCTGTCCACCTGTCCATTTTTTGTCTCAATCCGAATGTCTCAATCTATTATGTCACCGTGCAATGTATGATACCCACATAACTGCCGATCAATTGACCCCCCAAAACCACCCCAACTGATCGGCAGTCCTATGGCAGTCCCATTAGTCGTGTCTGGGATATGTGTGACCCGGTCCGGGGGCTGGGAGTTGTGGTTCTCGTTTGAGAAACACCTTTTATCGACCACTAGCGGGGGCTTGAGAACCACCTGGCGGCCATCCACTGATTCTTCGATATTCGTCGTGGCTATCCAGTCGTGATCACCGAAGATGAAGAACCTTTGCCGGTGAGGAAGACACAACTGTTCAAGCTTTGACAGACAAATCCCTGAAGCTGGCTGGTCCATGTGTCGGCCGACTGACTGGACTAATGGATGGAACTGGACACGAACGCCAAGTGATTTGGGTGACGGCACTGACAAACGCCGCGCGATCCGAGGTTCTTGCTGCATAGCATGGCGGCACGCTACCCAGAGACCCCCAGCAAGGCCGGTGAAATCGGCATGACTAGCACGTATGAAGATCATCTTGCAGAATGAGCAGGGCCTGACGGCTTTCTCCAGTGATCCTGCACCTTGCGATATGGTCAATGGACTGGTTGCGCTGTCCCCGCCATGGGATCTTTCTGGATCCGTCATTCTGAATCCGATTGGTATTCTATATATATATATATTATTAATATATATAATTCTATCTCAGGCTGTGCAGGATGCACTGCTCATTCTCTATGGTAGGAGCCACTGATGTCCAGGTCGTGGTACCGTACCTGGTCCGCGCGCATGTCGCTCTTCGCGAGGCCGATCAGGTGGCTTTGCAGGGCCTATTTGCTTCATTGGGGCCGCTTGGCTTGAGAAGGAAGGGGTCGGGCACAACGAAAACATATGAACACCTAATAAGGCCCAAGGAAGATATCCATATTATGCATATTGAAATGGTACAATTGGTACATATATAGTTCTGTATGATCTTAGCAACTCGCTACTGGCGTCTAACGTGCGGCCGGTGAGGCCGGGCGGTATGATACTCATTCGCCAGCAGCTGTTCACGCCACTCCACCACTCTTCGTTCCAGCTCACAAAATCCCGAGACAGTTCACCCCACTCGGTGCCTGGTGGGAACAGTGTGAAGCGGTGACTCTTTCGGAACAATGCTGGGGTCAATGAAGTCAAGGGCGCCTTAGACCTGTGGGCCAAAGGGCTGTTTCCGTTGTTTACAACGTTCCAAAGATAGCAAGGTAGAACACTGAGTGGTGAACATCACATGTAGTCACATGTAGTCAACAGGACCCTGTAATCTATGATGCCGTGACGAACAGAAAACCGGCTGACCCCCACAAAGGAACTATGCCGGGTGACCCCTATCGATCTGTGAGAGACTGTTTGCATGGTTTGCACAAATATCGATCCATGAGACCGGAATATTTATCGATCAGTTGGGGTGTTTGAATTCAGGGGTCAATGTAAGTAGAAGATGCTACAAGTCCAGTCTGACTCAGTAAGCTCCCAGCTCCAGCTCCTTTCGCGAGCCAGGTTTATAAATCATCCCAGGTGCAGAACATATTCCAGTCCCATGGATTGTTGGGGTATGTTACTTGTTGTTTCACTGAGGCAGCATTTCCCCTGCCCCATTTGCCGAACGCATCTGCGTGTTTGGAGCCCTGTTGGTCCGGAGGGCTGGACGGTTTGGTTTGCTAAAAACCATCATATAGATGTGTGTGTGACCCTTGAGAAATCAGTTTGCATTTGAACAGCATTCTTGGAGAAACCAGACACCTGACCTCATGATTTGCCAAGCCATCCTCATTTGATTTGCCAAGACATCCTCATTTGATCTCATTTGTGCTCATCACCGGGCCAACAAACATTAGTGAATTTGGTTTGATACCTTGGAGCTCTAGTGTGGGGATTGGAGCGGAAGCGTTAGCTTCTGAATGAGACCTTATGAGTCAAGCCTTGATGACTACGATGCTCAAAGACATTTAAACCTTCACGTTCGTCTGGGAAGAAACAGCCAGAACCAGCGGCGTACCTCTCCTTCCTGGGGCGGCCAGACCTGTGGGAGAAGAACGACAGATTGCCTGGGCCAAGAACCAGACCTATGTCTCGGTCACCAGACCTTTGCTCATTCAATGAGTCGTTTCGTCAAGTTGCGGAGAAACCCTACACTCATCAAAAAACAACAGGGCTAGCCTGTCTATATATCAGTCTTATGTATGATATCCGTACCAAAGAACGTTTGTCAATCCCATTGAACCCCACCGCTCCAATTTGGGCCCTCGCCACTACCCCCGAGCCTTCGGCTCTCTCGTGGCCCGAGGAAAAGCTCTTGAGCCTTCCCTTGGCTCACCACAACCGCACTGAACTCACCAAGTGGCTTGGGCACCCAGTGTCAAGATTTTGACACTTTTTGGACAAACCATTCCAAATGGGCACTGAATGGGCACCCAATGTCCATGGCTTTTTGTACTCACCCAATGTCAATGCTTGTGTAAACATTCCTTCGTTGTTGCCCGTTGCCCCTCAACCTGTTTACGGAGACCCTCTTTGACACGGATCCCAAGTTGGTGTGCTGCTATTGCCTGCTTTGCAGTGCACCCCAGTTCGTTCATAGTAGGAATCTATGCAGTGTTTTGCTTCCAGGTCCGTGGATGATCAATATGTTTCCCACCACATTATATTAGATGATGTGTGAATTAGGTAGCTATGACTTGCTCGGAAGCTGTTGCTTCACTATGAGGACTCAGCAGTCTCCAAGATGAATGAACAGCATTGGTTTCAGATCAGCGTTGACCGAAACATCCCGCATCTATCCGCAATGCGGATGACCCAAGAAGAAATCCCAGAGGCCTGGTTTTCAGATGCCTTTTTGATTTCGACTTTCTAACGTTGGTTGGGATGTAACCTGATCTTTGGCCGAGGTTGTGCCAGCTGCACAATATGGTGCCGGTCTCAGTCAAAGAGCCACCATGACCTGGCCAAACGATCTGGGAACATGGGCATTGCACCCCTGAAGAACACCACCATGCGCCGTGCATTTGTGTTATGTTTTAATTTGAAATGGGCCAGTTCGTGGACATATGCGAACATGCAACAGACATGTTGTCTTGTGTTTTTATTCGCTTTTGATCGTCCAAACTGATGTGTTCCTTGGGCCAGCACCTTCGAGATGGGGCCCCTCGCATTCTCGGCCCCTTGCGGGGCCCCCCCGTCTTCGTCGACCACGGGTCTCTCCCGTGGCGAGGTGAACAAAGATCTTCACAAAGCGCAGCACTCATGCAACTCCTTTGAGTTGGATCTTCAGTGCCCCGGAGGAGAAGGGGGTTGAACTGGTCACCGTGGTCACCTAATTATGCAGCCTATGCAGCCTGTGTCAGCTGTGTCGATGAGGTACTTTGGGGATTTGAAGCATCCTTTTTGTACTTGCATGGAAGGACACGTCATGTGGAATCTCGGAATCCAATTTGATGTGTGCCTAATTGGTCTTCAGTACATTCAAACGTCATGATCCACCTTTCGCGCACCTGTCGCCTGTCGCGAGGTACCTCAAGAGCTGCGGCGAGTGCACACAGGCCGGTTCGGAGAGCGGTGCAACGGTCGGTGCGAGCACCGGGCCGATGGAGAGTATAGGGGCGTGCCGTGGAAGGCACATGACGAAGATATGGCTCTTCAGCCTAGGGCTTTGTCGGCAGAGATTGTCCACTCTTCACACATTGGCAATGGAGTCAATGGAATGTATAGATAGATATAGCTAGAAGAAACTTGTGTTGCTGAACATCTTCCAGTGCGATCCAGTGTGCACATTCAAAGCCTTTGGATTGATCGCCAACTACGTAACCTGATTTGGCTGGTGCTCAGCCAGTCGTTTGTAGCACTGAGAACTGGCACCCAAAGGGGACAGATTCAGCACAAAGCACCACAAGACACAAGACTTGATCCTTGGGGTTGAGCAGACACAGATTGGGAGCTCATGGATTGAACATATAAAAGATGTTGGCAATGGACCATGTTCACCAGAACCTGTCACACCTGTTTGTGAGTGCGATGCAGGTGCATATCGAAGAAGAGGCAAGGTCTCCACAAGCCGTGGCCTGGTGCAGCATGAACTGATCATGAACCTCTTGTTCCTAAAGGTTGTCCTGTCCATCATAGGGAGTGGCTTGTAGCATTGACGGCGAAACTGCCTCGCAGTCGTGACGCTGAATGCTTCTAAGCGCTTGTGTCCGTCACTTTTTCTGGGGGACTGGACACATGTCACTGATGCGTCCGCAAAGCTCATGTGGTAGCTGAAGATGTACTGGAAGGCATTTCCTACTTCATTGTGACTGGCGTTTGGGGACCGCGTTTTGCATGGGGTCTAACACCAATCGTACTATATCGTACTTGGTTTGCCGCAGGATGAAGTAGCCGCACCTGGCCATTGGAACTACTTCCAGTACATGGAGATGGCTCCGGTTTCTCGGACAACGTCTCTCAGGAACTTGGCCGGGCGAGTGGAACCCAGTGAAGGTTTGGACTAGGTCCTACCTAGTGTAGTTGTGGGTTTTGAGGCTTAAAGACTGAGGTCAAATCACCCTGCTGACGGGGGAATGAAGAATTGGGCTTGGCTGTATTGACAGTCTCGGTGCACTGAAGATTCGTTGCTACAGCCAAAAGTGAGCTTTGGTCAAGACTGTCAAGACAAGTCTTGTGGGGATGAAGCTTCCATGGTTTTTGGACAGATGGGACACTGGTATCTTGGCTCTTGACTGCATCCAGAGGGCACCATGATGAGACGAGGTCTGAGTAGTTCCTTTTCTCCAAAGGACAACAACATCTGGCAGATCTAATTCTCTGAGTTGGTTCTGCAACAGACAAAAGGATGGACCAGGATGGATGAAAGGCAAACAGATTTGCGGTATCCATGTTGTCAAGACATGGATGTGTTGTTCGATCATATAAATGCAATGATCCTAAGATATGACGGGACGATGTGTTCTTCATATTCCTTTCTAGCCTTGCTTCAAAATCAACCCAAGAAACGATCTTCGGATCAAACAGATATATAACTAAAAGCATCATCAATAAATATCAAGAAGCTACTTTCGGGGCTCCTGGCCATACTACTAGGAGCGATCGGACGCTACAAACGGGGCAGGCCTTTTGTTCCGAACGCTCCGGAGACGCTCCGCTCAGGCTGAAGCTCGGAGACATGAGCTGTGTGGGACCTCGGCCACCTCAGCCGAGTCGACCCGGTGACCCGATGCACCCCGTGTGACGTCCGGGCGCCCACGCCGCCCCGGAGTGGGCGCAGTAAATATGTTGCCATAGTGCCAATGAGGAATGAAGTGATATGTCCAAGAGAATGGCTGTCCAATCCAAGTGCTTGATCTTTTCGATTTCTCCTGTCATCCACCCTGAATTGTCAAAATCATTCAAGGACCGGTTCAAAAAGACCTGGACTCCTGAAATCTGTCTCCAGTGCCGAGAGCTTGCCACATGCAGCACATGTTCTTGGAAGTTTATTTTTATGATATTTAATGGTTCATGATTCATGATGTTTCTTTCTTGTGGTCGGTTTGTGTTCTTTTTTTTGTGTGTGTGGGATTTTTGCTGCTGCTGCTGTCGTCGTCGTCGTCGGTGTCGTTGTGTTTTTGGAGGACCTGTGGCACTGCCATGGCTCCGCCATCCTTACGACACTCCAGAAATTCCTTTCGATCCTGGATTGGTGCGAAAGGAGAGATGTTTCTTTTTTGATTGGTTGGTCGACTGGCCGAAACTGTTGTTTGAGGTTCCATCATATACACTCACGGCCTCATTGACCAGTCATTGACTGGCAAGTCGTCTTCTTAAAGAACGACAGCTTGCAAGGTTTGTCAGTGCACTTCCAGTGCTTTCTAGTTCAACCTGGTTTGAACGAGGCAACCTGGTTTTAAGCCAGGCGCATCACCGGTGCGGTGCGGCGTCTCTTTCGTGCAGCTCCGTCACCGCACGGTCTCAGGTGACGGTCGCAAGTCCAGCAAGCAACCGCCGAAGAAAGGATCTATGGGAATTTGAGACCGTTTTGTGCCAATGGTTGGAAGGATTGTCAAATTTGTTGGATGGAAGTGGCTTGCTTTCAAGCCGGTGGTTGGGAGTTGAGAGCTCGTGCTGCCGCTTTTGTTCGGACAGCGCGGGTGGACCTTTGGTCAATCCATTGGCCTTTTGGTTTTCGCCCTTGATGTTTGTCCGGTCTCGCAGCGCAGGTCACGAGGTTTTGGATCATGGTCGTCATCGCCTTGAGTGTCAATATGGTCGTCATGGTCGTCATCGATTACTGTTACAACCATTGAATATCTCCGCCTCGCGCGCTGAGCGCGGGCGGCGGAGTGGGTTTTGGTCGAAGGTGGCGATGGACGTCCCTCTGAGGGGTTCCAATCAATCCAATGGCTTGTTGACAAGGAAGACCTCATTGTATTGTGTTGCATGGATTCATTTCAGCGATTTCAGTGTTTCTACAACGTGCTATAACTATTGAGAGCATGTGACATCCCACAGTCATACTCTTACTGATTTCTCGGTTTGCTGAGTGTGGCTCAAGGACCCACAGGACCAGGTGCCCCCCCACAGAGGGAGGGCGCCCAGTAACGGGTGCGTAGTACCGGTTTCGACGAGGAGGATACAGGATGGCACAACCAGAGGCGAGCAACAACAGCTGAGCAGCTGAGCCCGGGTGAGCAACATCCTGCAAATGGAATCTTCAGAAAAGGTAAACGCATCATCCCATTCATAGCTTTTTGAAGGAGTCGTAGAAAAGTTAAGCCGTTGGGTATAGACACAGTAGTGTTTCTGAACAAGACTCGCCTGGGCGACCCACAGTTTGTCTCTCATACCTTCGCATTTGGATATGTCACCTCCGGTTTTTCTTGCAGTGCAGATGTTCCTGCATGATTCACCAACATGTTGTTCTTGTTTCCAGGCTGCTTAATGGGATTCACATGGATTCACCTACTTGACGCCTGTCATGTTTCTCAACCTTCTTGTGGTCAGGCGAACGGACTGCACCAGTGGACTGATCCTAGCGTGGAACGAAGTTCCGACCGTCCATTTGCTTTGTAGTGAATTTGTATTGCAGCCAGATCTTGGCTTCAAACATGCAACACATGCAACGACAAAGTTATATAATTAGTCATTCTTGAGTCATAAGATTCAATTCAGGGCTGGTTGGAAGATTCTTTAACCACGGTGAAGGCTATGTCATTATGCTTGTTTGGGGAAGCTTACCCTTGGCGGCAATTGCCTCGCCCCCCTCGCCAGACCAATGCCAACTTGTCCGAGATGCTCGCAAAGCTGAAGATGCATCGAGAACAATTCCACAAGCTTAAGCAGGAGGCGGGTGATCTCAAACATGAATGTAAGGAGGCTTGATTTGGGAGAGGATCCGAAGCTCGGAATGGATCAAACAGATGGTCGGCCCCGACGTGAGGCGACGTCAGACCCGACGTGAGGCCGGTAGGCTGGTCGACGGATCTGACTGCTGACAGGTCGAAGCGTTGATGGGGAACACGGGCGAAAGCAACGCGTTGGAGAACAATCTCGCCAATGTCACTTTGATCAACGTCGAGGCCCCACAGTCCATGGATTGCTTTTGGCTTCTTTGCTGAGTGGATCTGAGTGGTATGAAGGAGGAGGTTGTTTGGTTATGTTTGGTTAATTTAAACTTATAGTAACTAGATGTAACTAGTATGTTACATTTATTATTTTTAGATAAGTGCTTAGCTTGCTGTTTGCTGGGTTACGCCTTACTGAGATGTTGTTTTTTCTGACAACGGGGTCTGACACGGTTCAGCCGGTTCAGCCTAAGGCATTCAGATCTCACCGTCTTTGTGATTCTGATCGCAAAGGTCTCAAGGTCTCAACAGTCAAATTCCTAGCTCAACCAGCGAGCCGGCAGGAAAAGACAGAGGAGGTCGAGTCCCCGTCATTGAGGAAATCCTTCACAGTGACGCTCGGATTGGTTTCGACTCAATGACAAGATGGGTTCTTTACTTTGTCAGATCTGATGGGAAGTGCGAAGATGAGAGTTGCGGAAGGCAATCTGAGTCGTTTCCTATTTCTCAATTTCTCTCCAAATTGGGTAGCAGGAAACAGAGAGGCGAACCGATCAGACCTGCTAATCAGCTAAGAAGACCCGTTTCCTTTGCGCTGTTTTTTTGCAGATGGTTGTCCGGTTGTCCGAATAGGATTGGCACTGCCGCAGAGTGTCTCCGATTTTGTGGTGCTGTGTCATGAATATCCCTACCAGACATGTCCAGCAACATGTCTCGAAGCTTCATCCCAACATGTTGATGCTAGGGGAAGCAAGGTGTTGTTCATCCCAACGGATTTGCAGGTGTTGTTTTGTTTCTTCATTACCCATCCATGAGCGCCCTGAGGTTGGAAGAGGAAAAGCTGCATATCGCCTTTTATGAGCGCCTCACGTAGCAATATCACATCGAACATAAGTCAGAGTCGAAGACCATGCTTGGCTGGTTTGGTGGTGGTTGGCCAAAAAAGAACATCAAGAGTGGTTGGGATCCAGATTTCTGACGACCTAGTAGATCTGACCCAGTACGCGACGAGGTGAGGAGGTGAGGGTTTTGCCTGTCTATAGGAGGATTATACATTGAAGGAATTATGATATATATTTGCATTGAAGGATTCTTGGGATCTTGGGTTGGTGTGTTCTTGAATTGCTAGAAGGCTCCATGGGAGAAGGCTCCAGGCCAGTTGATTGAGCCCACCACTGGAGTGGCTCGGCCTGTCAGGTTTGATCAATCCATGTGGGATGCCTCCTTGCTGTTATGCTTTCACCGCACCAGCATCATTGACAAGGTATTGTGCCTCGTTCAAGTTGACCAGGGGTGCATTTTGGTCGAAACACAGGAGCTATGACACTGGACATTGGGATCTTCCAAAGACTGATTTACACCATGTGTCCTTGCCACATCCTTCACATTAACAAACATGAAGTGTATCTGTAGGGGGGTGCAATCCGAGATCAACACCCATGAGGAGAACATGTCACTCAGTGTCAGGCTACAGGCTAGATGTCCTGTTTTGGTGTTTGGCTTGTAGATGTTTAAATGCTGGCTGGATGTTTCTGGGGTACTCTGGTCAGCAAATCTTTGGCTCACTGGCAACTCTGGTTTTTTCCCCGACTGGCAGTTCACTATACATTACGAGGTCAGCTGACCATCAGCCAGCTGGCAGCTGGAGTGACCACCTGGAGTCGATCTGAATATACACATATACAATGGCCTCCAGGTTGGAAGTATATGGCCTCCATATACAATGGCCTCCATATACAATAGCAATGGCCTCCATTGCTTTTCAACCTAATAGCTATGGCCTCCAACCTAAATTGGAATGGCCTCCAACCTAACTAAGAGCAATGGCCAACAAAGGGGGAATCATCCCTTCGATCTGATCTCGTGCGTACAAGATGCACAAGAGACCTTCTCAATGCATCTCAATGCTGTGAGCTGAAGAAACGTGTCGGGTCCCGATTTGGTGGGTTGGGCGGATCTTTGAAACACCATTCGGAACTGTTTTTGTCCAATGGAACCGCAGGGTCATGCGGCAGGGTGTTGGTTGGATGTTTGTTTTTTCCTGGCAGAAGCATGCCAAAAAGGAATGCCTTGGGTTTGTCCTATTACTTGCACGCAAGCAAATCACTGTGCTTGATCAGTCGGCCTGCGGCCCCATCATCCACTGAGCCCGGCTAAAAGGAATGGCAGAACCTTCGAAGGCCGAACAGGAAGGCCTCATGCGTCAGTCATGGCACGGAAAACACCGACACATCAGACACATCAGACACATGAGACTGGCATAATGTAAAATGTTTTACCAACATTGGGGTGGTTTACATTGTAAATATATCTGCCATACATATCCATACATTGAGTGTTCGGGGTTGAGCCTTTTCATTCGACTGGCGGGTGGACCCACGAGTTTCGAGGCTCGCAAGAAAAACTTGTTTGTGAACCAAAAAAAGCTGAGGCTCTTTGTCGGAGTGAGCATCAACCTGACTCTTCAAGTGTCGCTTTTGCTGGTGGTGTACATGAATCTCCTTGACAACCCCTACCCAAACGAAAAGGCCTGGGCCAGACCGATCGCAGCGGCTGGGGCGCCACTGGTCGGACTGCTCTGTCTGCCACGAGAGTTGACCAGACAGACGAGAGTTCGGACAGACAGACGAGCTCGAGAGTTTTCTTAAAAACCACCCTACTAGCGATGGCCTCCAACCTACTAGGATCTATTTGGAAATAGCACATGTCGACTTTCTTTGCTTTTTGGTTCAGAACTGCAATACGTAGATACGAGGCGGATTTTCTTGAGCTGCTCTCTCTTCAACTTGAAGGATCCACCTGCAATGGATATGCATGTTGCAGTATCTCAGTCGATCAAAACACACCATTTCCACAATTTCGTTCACTCATGTTCACTCAGAACCAACCAAAAGAACTATCAACTCAAGACTGGTGATGCTACTTGCGAACACCCCGAAAACACACTCCTCAGAGGCCCCACACTGACACCACCACCATCGAACACCCCGTTTACCGGTGCTGGTCTCCACAACGGTGGCGGTTTGAACTGCCAGGTGCAGGAGATGATCACGTGGCGAGTGTCGAATGGCCACTCCTCCTTTGATGAAGACTCGGTTCCTCGGTGGACGAAGACGGTTTTTGAGCCGTCTCGGACTGTCAGACAGATCGAACAGTCTGAGACGAGCGTGGTCCAACCGGTGCAGGTCGGGGTGAAAACCACGACGTGCAGGAGGTCGGGCGCCCCTCCTTTTCTTTCAAGATTCCGAAGAAATGTCCGTTTCATAGGAGACGATTTCTGTTAAGATCCGGTTTTTAAGATGAGATCTTGAAACGGGACTTTCTCACTGTGGAGTCTGAATCTCCTGCGGTTGTAGAGGCTGTAGACGGGTTCCCAGGGCGAGAGGATCTTTTCGAAGGGCTTTGATCTCTGATTTTCTGCAATTTTTGTCACGTGGAGAGGTGAGAGATGCTGAGACGAGAGATGCTACGACAAATTGATGTACAGATTATCTACAGATTGATGTTTTGTGGTTCTGAAGAAGAGTGTTCCCATGCAAGCATGAATTTGATCTAGTTGAAGCGCCTCGGGCGCCTCCCTGGCTTCTTGACCTCGCCCCCGCGACGTTCCAGGTGTGGGTTCCAGGGTCGGAATGCACGTTTCAGATCTTTGTAGACTTGCTCAGGACAATCCTGCGATGTTTTCAGCTCGTGTGTTGAAGCTCAGGTGATGATTTACTTGTGATACTTTCACAAGTCACACCCCTGGCTATACATACCATACTACCAATTATAGATACAATTAGTCTTGTGCCGCCGTACCGCCATTCCAACGAGCGCAAGCAGAAGTCCCCGACCCGTCGCCCCCCAAGTGGAACGAACTCCCCGACCCGCAACCCTGGATGCTCTCCAAGTCGGTCAGACTCCCATCCAACCCCAATAGCAATGGCCTCCTAGATGGCATGCGATGGCCTCCACCCAGGGGAAGAGTATTGTGATGCGCTTGTGTTCCCGCGAGCTGTGGTCCTACGAGCAAGATCAGTACGACGCCGCTGGGCGGAACATGGGCGCTCAACTCCGGTCTTGCCGAACGGATGAACGTTCGAACAGCAAGGGGGGGGTTGTGTTCAGCTTGCTGATGGCACGATGGTACCATGTCTACTCAGACTGTGGCGATGAAACGATGGGTTTCCATTGGCACTATCACCGCTTTTGTTAGCCCTCTTGAAGTAATGTCCACCTCTGAATAATACCCCCCTTGATCAAGTGCGGGCCCTAAATAATGTGAAATCAAGTGAAATCCAGAAAAATCCTAGAAAAATCTTGATTTGAATTGGAAAGAAAGGACATGAGAGGAAAATAAAGGGAAAGGAAACGAAAGGAAAGCAAACAATGTAAGGAGTGCTGAAGGAATTGTACAGGGGCTGAACCAAGTTCCCATAGCTTTAATAAAGATAAAGCCTTTTAACCAAAATGTTAAAAGGAAAACGCAGCAGCAGCCAAATCAGAAATCCACAAAGGATTGCATTCAATAAACTAAAGCTTTTCAACCAAAAGGAAATCTAAAAGAATTGTAAAGGAAACCACCAAGAGAATCAGTTTTTTGGAATCAGCTGAAAGCTCAGAATCAGTTTGGATGAATCAAGGTCCGGAATCAGCTGAAATCATGGTCCAGAAAAAAGACAAGTATTATTTGGGGGGCCATTTATAATTTGTTTTTGAACACATTTATCATTTATATATATATAGTATTTTTCACGGGCCATGTATAAATCAGAAGTCAACATTTGTCCTATCCTATTCTGTTGTTTTGGGCGGCCACTACAGTATATACCTTGAGGACTGACACGCCGCAACAACACTGCAACAGCCGCAACACGATGATGACACCATGTCACCACCCCGAGTTCCACCGGTGCCGCGCCTACACCTGGTGCAAAAGGGTATTCAAACACATGCTTCCTGTGAAGTGGAACATCAGTCTGAGTTCCCTCTGCTTGGCGAAAGCTCCTTAGTTCGGCCAGGAGATGTTTGACTACCTCTACAAGCCTGTTCCGGGCGTGATTTTGAGCGCTTTGGCCATTATCCTTTGGGTGTGTCTTGGCAGCTCAAGGGCGTTGAAAGAATCCTGATCACATCCATGACGAGATAGACTCGATTTTACAATATGAACAAAAATCAGATGACTGAAACAGAATCCCAAGCTTTCCACTCGATCGTCTTTCTTTAAAACTGACTTGGGGATTTTTCTAGGGGGTGGGATCAACAGTGAAGCCCGCTCGGATTGAATTGATACGGACGGGTGGAAAACCCATCGTCACCAGACAGTGAGAACAGCTTCCCGCGGAATTCTGAGTCGCCTGAGGATGATTGAAGTGACGCTTCCTGAGTAGATCATGGGAACCCTGAGCCAACCAAGCACCTTACTTGGTAGATCCTGGTACAGACGACCAACCCCCTTAGGCCCTTGGTACTGAGGCTGACGATTATGGTGGAATACCGCCACTGTATCGAGCAGTACCTTGGTGTCCTTCACTTGCCTCGCTTGACCGCCCAGGACGGGCCTGGCGCGTGTGAGAGTAACGAACGTGTGGACGGGGGCCTGGTGAGTTTGTGAACGTGTTTTTTTTTTGTGTTCTTTCGTGGGGCCTGGTGAGTGAGAAGACGTTTTGCCGAAGACGCAGCGAGAGGATCGGTTTATGTGATCACCCATCTACTTCTTTTCTGCCGTGTTGAAAGCGGTTTTGGGCAAGCCAGGGCAGGTTCGGGCTCGTTGCTTGGATGAGTGGGGACGGTGTTTTTTTTTTGATTTGTTGGAGCCTGGAACAGATGATAAGGAATGTTCAAGATGTTGCGGAGTCTCTGAAGATATCCCCAGGATACATATAACCAGGTTATCCGTTATTATCCGTGGCACTCGGCCTACCTTGGGTGATGGACCAAAGCTTTCAATATTATCCAAGGCTTTCTACGGCTAATATCCAAGCTGTGGATGGCCATGGATGCCAGTTTGGATCGCATGAGCAGGTTTCAAAGCAAAGAGGTGCACTTTGTGTCACAGAAAGGGACAGCCATCAGGCCAAGTGGTCTATGTTTTTGAGTGTCCCAACTATGCATGGTGTAGAAATATATCCGCATATCTATGCATATCTGAATATTTGATACTTGTTTTCAGTTGAGTCTGACGGCGTGTACTTGGAAGTGCCAAAAAAGAGAGCCACTTGATTGACAGCTGCTGTTCATTGCCATGCGTCATGCGCCTTCGCCAGCATAGGTTCAAGGTTCACTGTCGGGATACCTTTCCAGCTGTGCCTGGTGGATCTACCGTAGAGGTTTGGATGACCGGGACACCTTCGCACCATGTGGCACACGCCTACAGCACGAGGATTGTCCATGTAAAGCTCAATGCCTGCTTTCCAAGCCATCAGCACAACACATGCCGGTTGCCCTTTTGGCAGTGGTTCAGAAATATTGAGGCCACTCAAAAAGAGATCTTGAAAAGATTCGAACATTATACGCACATCATATCACACTGTAGCCAGGTCATCTTTGTCCATTACAAAGAGCAAAGATAAAACCTGAGATGCTGGTCATTAGTCATTTCGCTTGTCGCAGGACGAGTTTGAGGAAATCAACGATGATGGGGAGATTGTCATCAAGGGTATTCCGTGCCGTGACGTTTCGTCAGCTGTGAAGTAGGCATGTGTTAGAATATGTATACATGTTGCACATTGGAGGCTATTGCTATTAGGTTGGAGGCCATCGCTGTTTGGTTGGAGGCGATCGCTATCAGGTTGGAGGATACCACCCCTCAGACCTTTGGGCAAATTCATGGTACTTGGATGTACTTGGAGTAGGGAGAGGGCACAGTGACCACTGTGTGGGCACCTGTCACAGTCTTAATGCATGTTCTAAATGGACACCGTTGACCCTGCATGTGTTCAAGCTCTCCCATCCTGATTTTGGTGGGTCTGCTGGCATCCTATGACTGCATCAGATTCAGGGAAAATTGACGAAGTTCAGCATTTTTAGATATCTCTTGGAGCCAGTGACGCCAGGAGAGAGCTAACTGCCGATGTATTCATAAATATCTCAGAATGCAACTTGTTGTTCACATCGCAATAATGAACCTCTCACTCCCCTTAGTGAACAATGAGGGGGGCAACAGTAGACTAGACCTCAGACCTTACGATTAGGACAGCTTTTGATTGTTGTTTTTATTTGATAGACATTGACCCATTAAGTCAAACATTTAATTAACTAAATCTGGAAAAAGGTTTGTTATTACATGCTATTACTATACAGATAAAGCGTGGTTTATTTTGCCACCTAGGAGACAGTTGAAATTGAAAGGAACGTCTTTCATTGACAGATTTATAATCGACCTGGTCGTTTAAAATTGTAGCCTATTGACAAAATTATACAAGCATAGACCCCAAACAGCTTCAAAACGATTCGTTTAGATCAAACGAATATTAGTCAAAAATCGATTTCTTGGTACGCCCTACCTTCACCCCAAGAGCAAACTGCTTCATCAATGAATGTTTGTCGGCATTGACATCGCTATTTGTTCGGCCACACTCCTCTCCAGTAAACCGGACCACAGAGACCAGCCACAGAGTTCAGTGACGCGGCCAAAACAAGGACAAGAGGAGGACAAGAAGAGGACAAGGCCCAGCCACAGAGTTCAGGGGCGCGGCCAAGAGGAGGACAAGGCCTGGACACAGAGCCCAGCCACGGAGCCCAGCCACAGAGTTCAGGGGCGCGGCCAGTGAGAGTGGCCAGCTCTTTTTTCTAAGATAGAACCCCAACAGTAAACTGTTTGGGGAAAATGTTTTTGACTGTAATTTGTATTTTACTACTGTAGCTTGTAGTCGTTTAAATTGCAACCTATTGATACAGGCAAACTTTTTTAAATTGGCAATGACAGTAGCTTGTCGTTGACTAGACGTATAAACTTGTAACTTGTAACCTGTCGATGAAAGCACATGTGTTATTGACTGTATTTAGTTTGCAATTGCTTATTTTTGTTGGGGGGAAGAATTGGGGTTTACCCTTGACTTGCTCTCTCTTTTCCACTTACTGGTACTGAAAGAGCGTAAATGTTATATATATATAGTACTTTAAAATTCTATTATTGCATGGTTTTGGTAGCCGGGAGATTGTTCGGTTTACAATTGAATCGTCGTGTACTAGTGTGATGTGAACATGATGTCATTTGCGACGGGTATGCCGGGTTTGCAGGCAAGACATGTGTGCGTTTGGTTTCTGAACCATGTGAGACCCTTTGGTTTCTGTCGACGGAACGGTGCATCCGTTCTTCCTGCCTTCACTTGTTTGGTTGGAACAGTTGATTCAACGGATTCGTCGGAGTAGACTTGTCCTGCGATACACAGCCCGCTGAACCCATCGATACGAGTCACCCGTGGCACAAGGTGGTACTACCGCTACATCGCACTCATTTTCTTGTGTTTGCCCCGTTTGGGCGTCATGAGTCTCCTGGCAGAGAAGAGATCGATCATGATCGATTGGAACATTCATAAATCTCCTCACGGCAATTCAAAAGCAGATGTGTTAGCCTTTGGGAGTAGCAGGTTTTGATAGTGCCCTTGTTGCCATGGCAAGAAGATTCCTGTGGCAACTGCGAACGCTGTCGTGGTCGAATCCGGATTTCGTTTGAAAAAGTCTTACTGTAATTGAGTTTCACAAACCAGAAATGACTGCTCCGGTGTTTGTTATTTTTGCCTGGTTAATTCGGCAGCTTGACCCCGAAGAGAAATTGAGGTGGCGAAGAGGATGTTTTCAAGTTGCAAGACTTGACATATGGAGTTTCTTCATGGAAGAACAGACCAGCTGTGGGCGATCTCTCTTCTCCAAAGTACCCAAGCACCCTGACCACTCTAGCCAGTTGGAAGGAGTTGACATGTTCTTCACCATCACAATGCAACAACTGCGTAGTGAGATGAAGAGTTTCATCATCTCTTAGCCATCTCTTACGGAATATCCCGGAAAGATCTAAGATCTGTTGGATCAGCATTGGAGATCTAGTTGAAATCTGCTCGGCGGCCCACCTGGCGGAGTCAAAGCGGTTTGCGTGTCGTGTTCTTTACCAGGAGAGCACACCTTGTTTACTGGTTTGTGTATGTTTGTGTGTTCGTTTACTTTTTACTTTTCAGTCGAATGACTATCCCAGTTAACTAGCATTGTGGGAAGGGTTGAAACCACCATCCAAAATAGAACGTAACGTTCCAAATTCCACCTGGACCATTGGTATCATTTCCCCCAAGTGATGAACGAAAACTAATCATACACAAGATGCAAATTCATACAAAGAATCATAGCTGCTCTTCCTGCCGGCTTGGTTCAGCACACCCCTATCATTGTGTTCTCCAATGTCAGCAATATATGACCAAACCCCACATAGATTAATTGGAATTGAAATTACAAAGTGAAAACAATGCAAGAAAAGCAGATGAAAAGGCACATAAACGGCAAATCAGTTCAAAGCAAGCAACATAAAGAAGCAAAACAAACAGCAAAGCAAAAGCAAAGGAAAATGGGGAACACATATTCTTTCTTGTATGTTCATTGCTTGGGTTTTGTGTGCTTTTCCTTGTTCATCTAGCTGCTTTGCTTCTTTAAAATAAATGTACATTTCTTTTTGCCGTGCTTTTGCTTTATGCAATACTTTTGTTGGCCCCTCTGCTTTTTTAGCTGCCGTGCTGATGGTTCCTCCTTCTTGTTTCCCATCTCATCGACTGCGCTCATGATAAAGTCCTTGTTCCTCGTGTGCAAGTGTTCAATTTCCGTTTGGGTTCTTTGCCCAAAAGGATTACAACAACTGCAAGCTTCATGGTGTCTAATGATGTTCCACGCCTCAGCAAGGGTCCGAACCGGATATTTCAGGGCAAACCACCAGAATTGTCTGTACTGGTTTGCAATAGAGCCGAAGAAAGAGACAGCCATGGATTAAGCTGTGTTCCTGCCGGCTCTTCTTTCTGAGTTTAGTTTGAAAAGGATTGCTTGGATTCAAGTCTAAGTCAGTCTAAGTGTGTATCATTTGTTTGCGCTTCCTTTATTGTTGCTGTTACTGTTGTTGACGTCGGCGTGCTCTTCAATTCAAGGGATGCCTTGACATTCAGAGGACATGCATGGCCCTCTATTGGAAACCCAGGTTCTGCTGAACCTTCGTCAGATGTCTTGTTCCAGATGATTTGTGTCCTTTCGCGTCGCCATTTGCTTTCTTCCAATGCTTTGGATGCCCGGGAGGTAGAACTTGGTTTCCATTGGGTGCCTGGATGTCCAGATGCTTGGGAAAGGTTGTGTGCCAACCTTTTTTGGTCAAGCTGTCAAGCTGTTTGAAGTGAACGAAAAACTGAACCAGTGAACAAGGTAAACTGAGAGAGAGAGAGAGAGAGATGGACAAAAACAAGAACATGTCTAAGCTCCCCAGGTGTTGAGCGTATGATCGTGGTTACACCCGTTGCCATGAGGCTTTTTGGCCATTGTTGGCTGTCAATACCTGGCGCAGACCCCGTCCTTGAGTGTAACTGGGCTGCAGCTTGGAAACTGGGATCCAGGGCATCTCTTGGTTCAGCTTTTGGGTGCATTTGTTTGTTTGTTGGAGCGGATGTTCATTCTGTCCAAAGCCCTAGCATGGTTCAGCGTGTAGCAGCTGTGGACGGTTGACGTTCTTTGGCGAGTGCAAGAGTCAAAGAGCTGTTTGTTTTACACTCTCGAAAGCTAACATGGAACCTGAGAATTTAACCGGTGGTTTCGCCCATTGTCCACTACAAACCAGTGATTTTCAGAGTCCATGTTAGTTTTCAGCGGGGTAAGGGGTAGGTACATGACAGCTGCTTTGTTTGTTCTTTTGTCTGGGCCAAGTTGAGAGATCCGGATTGAGGACTGAAGAGTGGGTGTTCAAGGGCGCGGCAAGGAAGTTTTATCCACATATAACGCCCGGAGGGATTGCAACATGTCCATCCTGCCAGTTGGTGGTCCTGCCACTTACTCTCAGTAAATGAGATTAGAAGGGCTAAACAGTGTTTGACCTCCAAAATTAAATATATATATATATATTGGCATAGGCGCGGGAACCCTGGCACTCCCTTAGGGATCGTTCCTCCTTGAGGATTTTCTTGCCACATATAGAACCGTTTCCGGGGTTTGGGGGTCCTGCACAACTAGATATTATGTTCAGATTCAGTCTTCCCATTCATATAGAGAGGCTGCTTGAAATCTCAAAGCTTTCCGTCCCACAACCCTTTGCATATTGTCCACCATCCACATCAGCATGGTGTCCGTGTGGTCTTCCAAGGACATTGTTCTGAACGCAGTGGCCTTGGCCTTTGTCCTTGATGTCGACGAACTGGTCGCAAATGTCCTCCTGACCGAGAAGCTGCGAGGATCCGCAGACGGGGCACAGACAGCCCAGTTCTCATTCGAAGAAGTGTTCGTGGCTGTGATGCGCTCAAAGGGTTCATTGTTCAAGAAGTATGGGTTTGTTTTGAAACATGAAGACTGCCAAGACAAACAATTGGAGACCCAAACAGACTTCTTCCTAGTTTTGCATCATGTAAACCTGCAAGTGGACCCAGTGGAGGCTTGTTGCCCAAGATCCAGCCGATCTCCTGTGGCCACACGCGGTCCCATTTCACGCCCATGTGCCTTGACCTGGTTGAGAATATGTGGGCTGAAGGCTCTAGCTTGAAGTGGCTAGATCGTGTTGGATGTGACGACTGCAAGATCAAGAGACATCCTTATTGTTACCGGTTGATTTGGGAAGTTGTTTTTTTTGTGTGAAATCCTTGTCCATCACATGTTTTCCATTACCTTCATTGTTCGGTTTCACAGCACATATTTCTGTATACAATCAGCCATTGCAGTTTCTTGTTTGTCTGGCTACGTACCAGAACTCCCAGACACCCAGCTGAAGGGTCTTGGGAAGCGCTCAGGCCGAGTCTCTCCAAGTATCGTCGGGAGTAGAGGTTGTCTCAAGCTGCACCAGTGGTTTTCAGGTTCCATGTTAGTTTTCAGCGGGGTTTACGTCTACCAGCTAAGGTTCGGTTGGATGTTCGTTTGGTGGATGGGAAACGAAGCACCAACGGTCGACGGCCACCTCGCGGAACCACCTCGGTCCACTTGGACTCCGTCTCTCGACCAGTCGTCCGAAAGGCGGAGCACCGTTTTTCATCAAAGTAAAGGCGAGAGAATCCACAACAAGGCAGATCCAATGTGGCTTCATGACTGACTGTGGAGAGATTCATGGTGTTTTTTCAGGCAACAGAAGCGTCAATGTCCAGAAGCGTTGTTGTCGGGTCAGAGATACCTTGCAGAGGGTCCACGTTGATGTCGGTGGCCACGACTTTCCCCCACCACCTGAAATCCAACCACACCACCACCGTGCAGTCGCTTCGAGGAAGGACATTGTGCGTTATGCCTTGACAGTGGCTAAGCCGATGGTGTGAAGAATCTGGAGATGCTTTTGTGAAGGAGGTTTAAGAGAGTTCAAGCTGAGTGACAAAGACTTTCCCAAAATCATGTGCTGTATTTGGACAATGTGGGGATGTCAATTTTCTTGAGCTACTATGTCAATGCCAAGGCTGCCAAGGCTGCCAAGGCTGCCAAGGCTCATGGTTCCTCACTTTCCTGAGGACATGAGGATACTGTAGTTAGGAAACATATCTACTCAGGGTGCCTGGCTTGCTTAGCTTGCTTGGTTTGCTTACTCATCGACACAAGTGTTCACTTCTAGAGACTTGGTGTCGGCGTCATCACGCCTGTTAGGCAGATGGCTGGCACCACAGCAGGTGGTAAGTGTATGATTGTTTTCTTTGTGGTCATTGGTACTAGCCTCGGCTCTGTTCCAGGACACTGGTCAGAAAAGCTTTCAGGTCTCATTTTCTTGCCCCAGTCGCTTGTGTAGTTGACGTAAATCATGTGTTTTGCAACACATTGCAAAGATCTTAACCAGTTATTGGGATGTACCCAACCTGGACCCGAGGTTGGTTTGATTTCCTTCGCTTTCGTCCATTGGCTGCTTCCCTTCAACCACAACGTGGAGGCGGCAGCTATGGCACTTTGTGGTGGCACCTTGGAGTCGACGAGTCGACCACGTCGACGCGTCCCCGATCCCAAGAAGCTCATGTTGCGGGACGACGCGAGAATCCCATGCTTTTGACGCACAGAAGCTTCATGAAGCGGGCAAGGGCAAGGTGAGTGTGGTCCAGGTGTATAGTTAGCATTGTATGTATAACACATTATACACTGGGGTGCCAAAAGTTGCGCTTCTTGACTTCTAAAACATCACAA